GGCTTATCACTCAGTCCCCAAATGTCATCTCACCTGGGGTTGGAAGTCTGCACTGAGATTGTCACAAAGCCATTCAGGCCAACAGCCAACCAAAGCATCATTTTCTGGAAAACTGCCTCTGGCAAAGACTGCTGTTACTTCAAGTAATTATTTAGTGAGACAAGAGTCCCAACCCGCAGCAGATAGGGACCTGGGCCCACACCTTCCCCAGCTGTCTGCTCCCCACAATTAGTAATCTGTTGCAGGCACCACAGAAGCCTAAACAACCCCAAACACACTCCTGATCTCAGGAGCCCCAACCTGGGCTCTGAAATGGGAAAGCTTAGAATATGGTTCAGAGGGACCCTGAGAGTCTGGTCAGAGAGAATACCTTGATCTTCTGTGACATGGCAACTACATCCAAGGCCAGAAAGGCCTTTTGTGCTGTGAAAATCATGTCCAGATCTGGTCTCTCAGCCAAGGCTTAAGCAACAGCAGGGACCACTGCTTTGCTGTGGGATTGTCCAGTGCATTACAGAATGGTAAGCAGGATCCCCAGCCTCTACCTATTAAGTCTATCTACGGGTTGTGACAAACCACAGATGTCTCCAGATTCTGACAAATGTTTCCTGGGGGCCAAGGCTGCTCTGGCTGAGAATTCCTCCAGAAGAAGTAAGCCCACTCAACTCCACCCTTGCCCATCACCGCAGTAAGTCAGTGAGGATACTGTATTCAGCAATGAAATCTACCCCACAACACTGCCTTCCAGTATGCAAGGATTTTTTTTGTCGAAGTTCACAGTCTTGAAGGCAGTTTTCAACCCTGCCTGAGAATCCTGAATCCCTTGGGGAGCTTTTAAAAAAGTTCAGATTTCTGGGCCTTACCCAAGAAATGACATTCAGCTGGTGTGAGCAGAGCCTGGGCATGGGTGTTGATTTAAAAGGTCCCTCAACAGTTCTAACTTGCAGCTAGGATGGAGAAGCACAGCCTTGGGACCTTTCATTTGAACACACACACACACACACAGCAGTAGTGACTCAGCCAAAATGAGTATAAAGGCATTTATGAAGTGCCACATTTCTTACAATAAATAACCTTTGCACACTCCCTTTCTTGGTCTATAGCTGACCTGCCAGAAAGGACGGACCTTAACCCATCATTGAGTGGCTTCCTCATGGCCTTATTGACTTTCTTTTTTGGGGGCAGTACTAGGGGCAGTACAGGAGCTCTATCACTTGAGCCATGCCTCCAGTCTAGCCTTATTGATTTAAACAGTGCTGTCCCACAGAACTTTCCATGATGGGGAAACATTTCTATCTGCTGTCTGACAGAACAGCTGCTGGTCCGTCTACGGCCATATCACCATGAATGCACCCGATCTCCTCTGATCTCGGAAGCTAAGCAGGGTCAGGCCTGGTTAGTACTTGGATGGGAGAACAACTGCTGGCCACAGTGGCTATGGAGCGCTTGAAATTTTGAATTTGCTTTTTTTTTTAATGGTACGGGGGTTTGAAGGCAGGGCCTCACACTTGCTAGGCAGGTGCTATAGCACTTGAGCCACTCTGCCAGCCTCTGAGTTTTATTTAATTTCAATTAATTTTTAAAATAGCCACATGTGGCTAGTGGTCACAGTACTAGAAAACCCAAAAAGTATTTCTAACCCTACGGGGTCACAGAAATAAAAGTTTTACAGCCTCTTAAATTCCATAAAACAGTAAACCTTAAAAAAATGTATATCTAAAAATATCTAAGCTCAATATCTTTAAATTATCAAATAGGATCCTAATTTATTCCACTAATGAGAAACTTTAAAATAAAACTATTTCAGCTTGCTGCCTGGAATATTCCAAATACTAGCTTTGAGGAGGACAGCCCTGCCCCATTTTTTGAACACTCATCACTGTAACAATTGATCTAGTCACCAAAATAACCATGAGTTTGGTAAAGAATGTGACAGTGAAGTTGATTTCCACTCTCAGCTGATTGCCAGACTTCTATGATAAAACATTTATCTTTGTTTTTCTTCCATCCAAACTCAAAGATAATCTTCAAGTCTAACTTCTTGCCTCCAGTTCTGTGGGGCAGCACTGCTTAAATCAATAAAGCCATCTGTCAGAAAGCCTCTTGAAGATGGGTAAAGTCCCATTCTCCCAAGTCATCTGCAGGCCAAGAAACAACAAACGTTGTTTATTGTAAACCAACACAATAAAATGCAGATCAAGGCCATTTCTAAGAACAAGTTTTTCTCATAATGACTTCTCCCATCCAAGAACTAACTAGTTCGAGGCCTGACCTTGCTTAGCGTCCGAGAGCAGATGAGATCAGGCGCGTTCAGGGTGGTAGGGCCACAGACTCATAACAACTTTTGATTACACAAACTGCATTCCCACACTGACTTTTGGTTCAGTGTGCAGATCCTCACAAAACTCATAGCACATACATTTTAAAAGCTTAAGAAAAGAGAAGACCAATTTTGTTTCTTACTGCAAAAGCAAAGGATGGTTTAGAGTTGGTGAAAGCTTTATAGACCCTTCTGGGGGCAAAAATTGTTTACTCTGCTTGTCACAAACTCCCTTGCCCACAACCAAAAGGGTGTGAGCCATTTATTAGTAATCTAATGTAGTTCCTATAATTCAAAATAACAGTCAGCTGTCACTGCTCATAGCTGTCACTGCTCTTCACCATAGATGGTACTTGCTGAGTGTTTATCACACATTGGTCTTGTGCCATATTTTATTTAAGTTTTGCTACGGCCCTCTGAAGCAGATAACTGCCACCAGAAGCTGAGGCTCAGAGAGGTTAGGTGACTTGCCTAGTAGAAAGGAGTCTATCCAATTTTGTGTGTGGAGCTCCTTTGTGTTAGGAACAAAAGCACAAATGCCGGCTACCAGGCTGAGCCATCCTCCATGGGGTCAGGACGCAACTCAGTAGGGGAATTTGGGGCTGTGAGCTTTAGAACCCCTGGGCCTGTTCTAACTTCAGAAATCACTCCATCCCCCAATGGTCCCCTCTCTGTGTTTGTCCTGGGGCTTGATCAGCAGGTGGAAGGAAAAGGAGCCTTGGGGAGCACTTCTGGTCCTGCTAGCACAAGCACACCCAGGAGGACAAGACAGATGCATGCAAGAGAACTTCCCAAATGCCATCCTGGGGTGGGAGGTAGGAAAAGCTCTCAGTTGAGGGATGGTAGGGAAGAGAAATCACGGGGTGTTCCTGGAGAGGGCTGCTGAGTGGCGCCCTGCAGGGCAGTAAGACTGGAAATCAGAGATTCCTGAGAGGGAAAGAAGGGTAGTCAGGAGGACTAGGGGAAGGGGTAGACTGCAAGGGCCTCAGCTAAAGAGTCAGAGCAGCAGAGGGAGCCCAAGAAGTACCCCATTAACCATCCCAGGACCCCTTTTGCATCATAGCCCTGCCACGTTCTAGCTATGTGGTCTCAAGCAAGTTCCTTCTGCTCTCTGGGCCTCAGTTTCCTCCAGGAAGGCACTGAAGATTCCTTGCTGGTCTGAGAACCTCATTTTATTTATCTGTGGTGCTGGGGATTGAACCCAGAGCCTTGTGCATGGTAGGTAAGTGCTTTACTACTGAGCTACACCTCCAGCCCCCAAGCCTAATTTTAGAAAAACAAATTGGTGCTCAGAACACAGAGTATTTGCTTCTAATTTTCTATAAGTGTTGATAAGAATTTATTAGTGAAAAAAGAATTTATTAATTAATGGCTGGGGACAAAGCACAAGTGGTAGAGCACTTGAGGCCCCAGGTTCATCCCCAGTGTGGCAAAAAAAAAAAAAAAAAAAAAATTAGTTAAAATTGGGTAAAAAGTCAAATGACTCAGAGTGAGGTCTCTGAGGTCAGACTCACTGTGTACTGAGAAGGAACCACTTCATGAAGCTTCAGGTTCCTGCCCTTAAGCACAGGCATTACCAATGGTACTCCCACCTCATGGGGCTTTTAGAGAGGATTAGGCAGGTAATCTTTTTAAGGAGCCTAGCACTCAGTACTTGCTTGTTTTATGTCAGCTGTATTAATTATAAGCTATTTTTAATTCCCAGCCAGTGGCAGCCAGCCATTAGGGATTTCTGAGCTGGTGAGGAGGTGAAACACATGCTGTCCTCCAGGTCCTAGCTGGGGCAGGACCCTCCTCTCTTCCCTCTCATTAACCACCTGGGACATCGAAAAGATTCCCAACACACATCCCCTGGACGTGGAGCCTCTGCATCCTCCAGCAGGCATCCTCCTTCTCCCACCATGCCCCACTGCTCATGTGGCCGCCCCACGTCCGCCGTCTTGGGGGGCAAATCTTGGAGGTGTTCTGCCCTGCAGACGGCGTTACACAATCCACATCTCTAAACTGGAAAGCCCGAGTAGGCTCGGTGCAGGGCCGTATGGATGCAAGGGATGCCAGCAGGCACCAGGCTGTCAGAGTGGTTGGAGCAGCATCTTGACTTTCAGGGTTTCGCACGAACCCGGCGCAAGGGCGAAGGAATGAGCCAGGCTAGGATATAAGGGCTGCTGAAAAGCTGCTTGGGAAGGGGGTGTTGGCCGAGAGAGATCTTGGGGAGGGGGTACAGATGTCGGGGGCGGTGTGGGGGAAGTGACTTGGAATGTGATGTCGTCTGAGAGGGCGAGTTGTAGCCTTTCTCCAGGAAGTGGAGGCGACAGGGGTGCAGGATCAAAACCATCCAGGGCACCGGGGCTGGTGCGGACGCGGGGGGAGGCGGAATAGAAAGGAGGTGCAGGTCCTAATCGGCCCCCACTCTATCCCTGGGCTTAAGGAGGCTGGCAGCCCGGCCCCAGGAAATAGGAGAACCAGGGTTAGGGAATCTCAAGCTCTTCCATGCACCAGAAGGGGGAATGATGCCAGAGCGGGGATATGGAATAGAAAGGGAGGTACGGGTCCCGAACCCATCTGCACCCGGAGCGGGGGCAGCCTGGAGTCGGAAAGTGGGGGGCAGGTCACGGGGTCATCCGGGGCGCCCCATTCCTCTTCTAGGCGCGCACCCCCTTCCCCTCCCCGTCCTGCTCACCTGACAGACCTCAGGCGCCTGGGTCCTACCGCCGGGTCCCGGCACCGGTGTGCAGTCCCGGCTCGGCCCGGCCGCAGCGCTCGCACCTGCGCGCTCGCTGCTCCCGGCGCCGGCTGAGCTCGATTCCTTAAAGGCGCAGCACGCCGGTTCTCGTCTTCCGACAGAAAAGCCTGCACCCAGCGCTGCCCCCTGGCCGCCGAGCTCGGTGTTGGGGACTCCGGGGAAGTTTACCCGTTTCTCAGAGTCCTCAGTTCAAGGCTTTAAGCCCAGAAGGCAAAGTTAGTATACAGCATAACCCGACCCCAGCAACCTGTCTCCATCCACTCAAGAGCCAAGGGCGGAACAAGCACCTACTGTGCTGCAGACGATAGCGCCGTATCTGCCCGCCCCTAAATGAGCGCACAGCCAGGCGGGGCGTGGGGAGAAGCTATTGCATCCCCCAGGAGCGGCGATTGTTCAAGGCGAGGCCAGAATTCATTTACTGAGCACCTACTGTGTGCCTGATGTGCTGGAGGTTGCACCCACCAGAAAGACTCAAGGCAGGATCACTGCTGAAAGAGCTCAGGGAGAAAGACGGGGACAGTCCTGGGTTCCAGACAAGCAAAGCGACACTACATATTTGTTTCATATCATCCTCTGAAGCAAGCGCTGCCACTGGCTTCCTTTCTTGGAAGAACCAGCACTCAGGTCATTTCTTCCTTTTAGAGACAAGGAAACATGTAAACCTTGGTGTGGCCTAGTTTGCTCCTTTCTAATTTCCATGTCTCAATTTAGATGTCACATCCTCCAGAAAGCTTCCCTACTCTTTGGGGCTCACATTGCACTGCAGGCTTCTTCCATCAAAGCCTTTATTTATTCACTTAATCATGCACCTACTGTGCACAGAGCTCTGTGTACTGTGTAGCAATGAGAGACTGAGGCCCTGGCTCATAGCACCCAGCTCCTCCTGTAGCACTGAGTCCTCCGTTCGCTTGTTTACCTCCTGCTGCAGACACTGGTGGAACCAGGGCCACCTAAATCCATCGCTAGACAGTGTGAGGTGATACATGCCTGTAATCCCAGCTATGGGGGAGGATTTGAGAGTTCAAGGCCAGCCTATCTCTAAATAAATAAATAAAATAAATAAATAAATAAATAAATAATCCACCATAAAGGCCAATGCCTGTCAAGCCTCCAGGCAGGCAGATCCTGGCTGAGTTGGGCAGGTCTTGGGTTTTAAGAATGAGACTTAAACAAGAAGTTCCAGACGTGGGACAAAGGGGTATCTGAGGCCACTGGTGAACACTCATGCCTGCAAAGCCTGACTGTCAGGGCTGCTGGAATTTATAGAGTCTGGGACAATCTTCCTGGCTTGAGCTGGAGCACCCCCCTCCAAGTTGTTGGCCAGCTACTCACTCAGGCTCCAGGGGCTGCATCTGACTCACTTCAGGGACAACTTCCCACCATTTCACTGACAATTTACTCATCAACGGCTGTGTTGCTGAGTCCTACCTCTCTGCCCTCTCACTGCTAAACTTGCACTTTTTCAAGCTAGCTGCCCACTAACATCCCACAGAGGCAGCGAATTAAGGCGAAAAGGAGTGTCTGCCTGTAGCGAGGGGTGGGGGGGGGGGGGGGGGGGGGGGGGCCGGGGGGCGTTGGGGGGGGGTGTTGAGTGGGGGGTGGTGGGGGGGGGGGGGGCGGGGGGGGATGGGGGTGTGGTTTTTGGGGGTGGGGGTGTGTGGGTGGTGAGGTGAGCGGGGGGGGGGGGGGGGGGCGCGGGGGGGGGGAAATTAAAAAAAAAAAAAAAAAAAGAATAGCTTGCCCTTTCTTTTCACTCTCAGCCTGTGAGCCCTCAGGCACCATGGGCCTGAAGTTTCTTTATCCAGAGGGGGTTTCTCCTCACAGTTTTATTGTACACCTAGTTGAACCCCAGGGCTGAGTTACATTATGGGTACCTCTTTTTCTCCTGACAATTGACAAGAGAGAAGCCTTAATTAGCCTCAGTTTTATAGGAGGCAGGAGATGAGAAACTCAGCCCCAGGCCTCTTAGTCAATGACACTCCTGGACGCTGTCACTGAGGAGTCAGGGGGAGGAGGGAAGCCAGGGAGAAGTCTCAAGAGCCCCTCCCTTCTCCACTGCACCCTCAGTCATCAACTAGAAACTCTTATGGATGGTAGGTTTGCTTAGTGTTAGCTAAGAGTTTGGAAACCTCTCCCCTACCATCAAGTACAGCAGAATGCCCCAGGCTCTGTTCTGTGCCACAAGTCTGCAGGTGTCTCCTGGACTCAGCAACACATCACATCAGCCAGAGCTAAAACATGCATACAGTGACCACTGGTGTTTTTGTTTTAGTTTGGTTTTCTGGTGGGACTGGGACTTGAACTCAGGGCTTCTCGCTTGCAAAGCAGGCTCTCTACCTCTTCAACTGTACTTCCAGTTCATTTCTGCCTTAGTTATTTTTTTGGAGATAAGATCTCTTAAAGTATTTCCCCAGGCTGGCCTTGAACCATGGTCCTCCAGATCTCAGCCTCCCAGGTAGCTAGGATTCCAGGTGTGCGCCACCAGTGCCCAACCAGTGGCCACTATTTAATGTGTACTTGTTACCTGCAGTCATGGGCATCAAATCACTTAGTCCTCACAGCCACACTGGGAGATGTACCAACCTGCTTTAAGAACTGAGGCCCTAGCTGGGCTCCAGTGGTTCACGCCTAGAATCCTAGCTACTCAGGAGGGAGGGATCAGGAGGCTCTCAGTTTGAAGCCAGCCCAGGCAAAATAGTTTGCAAGACTCTATATGGAAAATACCCATCACAAAGAGGGCTGGTGGAGTGGTTCAAGGTGAAGGCCCTGAATTCAAGCTCCAGTACACAAAAAAAAAAAAAAAGAACTGAGGCCCTGAAGTGCAGAGGCATTAACTGATAGATCTTACAGTCAGCACCTAGTGCAGCTAACAGTTAAAGATGTTTATTCATTGCTGGTGGAGTGGGTCAAGCAGTAAGAGCACCTGTCTTGCAAGCACAAAGCCCTGAGTTCAAACCCCAGGGCGGCCAAAAAAATAAATGCATTCATTCATCAAACATTACTGAGAACCTACCACATGCTAGGGTACTCTCTGGGTGACCAGAGATATACTTCTTGCCCTCTAAGACTTAAGAATCTATAAGAAGAAACTATAAGCTATTCAATAGTTTCTTCTAGACTTAGAAAGAGTTTAGAGTGTATTAGAAACTATTCAATCAGGGAATCCTAGACAAACTGTGATGGAATCACACAGAGGCCATGTCACACCTGGAAATATGTGCAAGAGAAAAATGAAATACACAAGATCCCTGTGTACTCAAATGCCAGCTGGCAGCACCCTTAGGTTCAGAAATCATTTGCCCCAAAGTATATCTGCACAGCAGCTCCAGTCCAATCATGGAGCCCTGTACTCAATCTGCAACTCAGAGATCATGCCTCATAGTGCCTTCCCTGACTATGCAGGCAAAATTGTGCCATCACCCATCCCAGGAGCACTGTGTTGATAGCACATGATGGCTTACGTATTCATTTAGGTGACTCTGGATTCTGTAGGGCTGTGAACACCTTCTCCACCTCCATGGCTTCCTCAGAACAGGCAAGCAGTAATTAGCTCTTCCCAATGCCTCGCCTAGTGTTCATGTGACATTTCCTTGAAGCTCCCCAACAGCTCTGTGAGGTGGACACTATTATTCTCTCCTCTTTGCAGAGGAGGAAAATTTTGAGGCTCAGAAACTGGGCACCAGTGGTGCGTGCCTGTCATCCCAAGCTATGAGGGAGGCTGAGATTGGGAGGATTGAGCTTTCAGGCCAGATCAGGCAAGAAAGTTTTCAAGACTCCATCTCAATGGAAAAAAAGCTGGGTGTGGTGGTGCCTGCTTGTCATCCCAGTGATGGGGGAAGCTTAAAAATGGTTGGATTGAGGTCCAGGCTGGCCTGGGCCAAAAGTGAGGCCCTAATTCCAAAATAATGAGAGTAAAAAGAGCTGGAGATGTGGCTCAAATGGTAGAGTGCCCGCCTCAAAGCACAAAGCTCTACATTCAAGCTCTAGCACAGCCAAAAAAATTTTTTTGAGGCTCAGAGAAGCTAAATTACCTACCAAAGGTCACACAACTAGTCAGCAATACTGCTGAAGTTGTGTATGTCTATTTTCTAGTCACTAAGCTACTTGCTTCCATAACAAGTAATAGAATTAAATATGAAAGAGGTTTGAAAATCTAAACTTAAAGAGCTTATATTCAGCAATCTATGAAATACATTAATATTTTTAGGCCAAAACCATCTTTCCAATTGACTCAAAATATTGCTTATTTATTTATTTGTGAATTAAATATTTGCCAAGTTTCTACTTAGGCATAGGAGTCAAATTGTGGAAGACACATTCTGACTGTCCTTTAAGGAGAACAGTTTAAATCATAGAGTGACTAATGTAAACATGAAAAAAAGAACACCAATGCAAGGGTTAAGTAAGAAGAATATATCACAAGTCAGCATATCAAAGCCAGGCATGGTGGTGCATACCTGTAACCTAGCACTTGGGAGGTGGAGGCAGGAAAATTACAAGTTTGAGGTCAACTTTGGCTGCAAAGCAACTCTGTCTCAAAAAACCAAACCAAAAAAGTTGACATGTTAAAATGTAGTATATGAGCACAGAAAGAAAGACTAAGCAGTAAGGAAGCCCTAATTTTGAAATTCTTACTGTATTGATTCATTTGTTGAAAATGCCAACTGTGCTCAGTCCTAGGCCAAGGAGTGTCCTGGATGAGGACAGGGAGGACTTTGAGGGACTGCACAGGTAGCATTCTGATAAGCCCAGGTTCTCCAAGCACCTGAATGGAATTTGAACAGTGACTGAAAATTTCCAGAAAATTAACCTGGACCTTTAAGAAGAAGCAAAGAAGACTAAACCCCAGAATGGTTGGCCTCAAATATTAAAGACAGAAAAAGGTCAATTGAAACTAGATTTGGATCAAGAAGATGAATGAAAAAGGAACTGAGCATATGGGGTGTTGACAGATGGCAGAGGAAAAACAAGACTAGTTTCTAATTTACTTCATTTTCATCATGAAGAACGAG